CGTCACTGTCGACCGGGGTCGGATTCCGTGCATCTGGTAGCGAGCGTAGCGAGGCCACTCCCCCACAAGCGAGCATTTGCTCTGGAGCAAATTTAATCCAGCTGCGTTCACACGTGCACATTTGTTTCGGCGTAGTGTAGCAAACGAGCATTTGCTCTGGAGCAAATTTTTAAACCACCTCCCTGAGGTGGATCAAATTTGGTCCGGTATAAGCTCTTTAGTGGAGCTACGCCGGAGCAAATGTGCACGTGTGAATGCTCGACTGGATTTATTTCGGAGCTGCGTCGGACCAAACGTTGCCGTGTGAACGGGGCTTTACATTGCTCACTTTGTGTTGGAGAAGAAACGTACGGATCACGTTTAAAATGGCCGACATCTTCCAAAACAGATCAATGGGTCCGATTCAAATGATTGATAAACTGTTCTATTCTTGATATAAATAACATGACCTTTATCACATGACTCGGGCAGCCAAAAAGTGAAAAACACAACAACAATAAAAATACAGAACTCAATAAGCTGTTAACAAGAAAAGGTTTTCAACATTGTCATGATTACTTTCTTCCAAAAAAAAAAAAAAAAATCAAGAGTGCAATAAAACATTTCTGAATGTAAGGAAATGGTAAACAGAAAGAAGACATGAGAAAGGTCAACAAATGAAGACCAGAAGACGAGAGAAACGTTATGTTTCTCTCGTCTCTCGTTCTCTCGTATGTTTCATTATGTATGCAAAATGAAAGTCCTTAGACTTTCATTTTGCTTGTGTGGTTCCAGAAGGATGAGTCAAAATGGCTGACACGGTAATGAGGTGACCTGACCAAGTTTAAAACTCTTCTTCTTTGCTTTGTTGTGAAAAACTTTAATTGAGATTCGTTAGACAATCAGCAGGGAGCGGGGTTCATTTGTAACGTTTGCTGCTTTCTGCCTGGTTTCCCTAAGAGGCAGGTGCTTCAAGGGTCGTAGAGTTTATGCAACATGGAAAAAAAAACCATGAAGATGGAAGAATGATGGGGGGGAGGGGTTTGGTTAAGTGGATGTGGCCAGGCTGGTTGGGTGGGGTGGGTATGTTTGGGGATGTCTACTCTCAGGAACTCCTCTTGGTCCTGGAATGCTGAATCAGCCACTGGAGAGTGATGTCTGGACACAGAAAAATGTAAGTCCATGGTGGGGGGACAGGAAATTGTCAAATGCTGCCACAAAGTCAGGTGCTTGGTTTTCAACGCCGACTACAACGGCAGCCGGCCAAGTGTCATATTGCAGACGAGGTGTATGGCACGGTGGCAATGTAATATCATGCGGTCAATGTGATGTGCATTTGGGTGGCGTGAGCAATGAGACATTTGCGCGTTACCGATGTTGTCCTTCTCCTTGCAGGAGATGGAGTAGCAGCAGATTTCTCTGTCTTGAATGGCCGACAGGTTCCTGGAGAACACAAATCACAATTAGGAAGTTACGTCTTCGAGGGTTGGGATTGCCGTTCAGATTTAGCTGTGCATGAGGGCAATGGTGCACTGCTTGCAGGCTCCGCAGCACACAGCAAATGTGTACAGTGAAAAAAAAACAAAAAAACTTGCTGTATTGGCATTTTGCATTTTCATATTCGCCTCATACTTTATTTGGCACATGCGGTTGACAGAGCGGGAAGAAAATTTTGTAACCCCCCCCAAAATAAATAAATAAAATCGGGACATTGTGGGAGCATTTCAGACTGACAGGTGCACCATGCGGTGCAATCACTGTCACACACGGACCATGTGTTTCAGCAAAGACACCCACTGACCACATTTTACCATGTCTTGGGTCCTATGTGCCATATTTGATGTACCTTAAAGCATTATGCCTGTGGGGGGCTTGGTCTCTGTTAATTATGGCTACTGTCGTGGCTTCTTTATTACCCTGATGACAAGCATAGATATACGCTATACTCATTATGTCCATATTGTTCCGCATAATTAAAACAAAAGAACACACATTGGTCTGATTGCTCAAACAGGTTGAAAACGAGCAAAAATAGTTGGCAGATTATTGGGATGTGTTTGACAACACATCAATTGGAGATGCTGCGTTTTCCGGTGTTGGCGCTGTCCACTCGTCACCTCACCAATACCCTCTTAACCAACCAGAGGAAAGTGCACCAGTGCTGAAGTGAGAAAACCTTTTCACAACTGAAGCACAGTACTATGATGTACATCTAAAGCCAACGTGTTGTAGAATTGACAAGTTCTTGCGTACGTCATCACTGCATGAGCCGCACACTTTGATGGCTCAGGTGTAGCTTATCATTTGGATGCCCAAGGCAAACATATTCAGAGCACCCGTAGTATTGATCATTTTTGACACATCTGTTACAATGATCTCACATCTTAAATTAGCCTCAAAATATTTACCACCAAAGACTTGTAATATTGCTTAGCATCATCTAGAGCAGGGGTGCCCAACCTTTTTTGACCCAGGTTCTACTTTTCATGCAGCAAACGTCCCACAATTGACCAATTCACGCATGTGCACCCATACACACACGCATGTGTGCATACAGACGCTCGCACACACGCATGCCATGATGAGCAATCACCATCACGGATACTAACATCAACGAAAAAGAAAAATAAACCAGACACGAGGCAGGTTGGCTATCTAAGTTTTTAAAAAGAAAATCATTGCCTGCCTTAGTGGGAAACCTGTCACACGGAGGCAAGGCCGCATTTTTGGAGCACGTAAAGTGAAGAATCATCACATCTTTGCCTATGCCATCAGTGCATTGCAGAGCAAACAAACAAGCTTTGAATGAGAATTAAAAAATAAAATCGTTGTATCTTAATGACTCTGATTGCGAACAACTTCCTGTGATGCAGGGCATGCTACAATGTACCGTATTTGCCCGAATCTAAGATGGCCCTGATTATAAGACGACCCCCTCTTAATCAAGACTCAAGTTTGAAAAAAGACTTTTTGAACACAAAATAAAATTTTATACAGAAAATAATTACAGTACATCTGAAACAAATGATTATCACAATATATTTGAGAGAAAGAGCATGTTATTTTGCCTCATTCAAATCTAAAGTGCAATCACATTCGTAAATGAATGGCTTCTGGTTTTTGAAATGTAAATTACATCATAACTTCTCCTCAGCTGCCGATCTTCGACCCACTTTTATCCAGATTGTCACTACGTTTCTCCATTTTCTGTTATCTCTTCTATTATTTTCTTCTCTTTTCCTTGTTACCACGATTTTTTTATTTTTCTTCTTCGTGCTACCGCTATTTTTATTTTTATTCTTTGTGGCAGGGGTTCACTTTGGCCTGGGGAGTCAAGTTCAGCATTCGCTTCAATGATATCTGGCTCCATCTAGCGTCGTGAATGGGTATAATGTCTAGACCCCCGAATATAAGACAACCCCCACTTTTTCAGTCTTATTTCAATGCAAAAAACATCGTCTTATATTCGGGCCAAAACGGTAAGTAAAAGGTGACCTTCTTAAAAAATATATTTTTTTGTGGAAGTAAAACTGATAGTTGTGTAGGCTGTAGTGTATAGTAACACCAAACCTAATACAGTCATACCTTGGTTTTCGACCATAATCCATTCCAGAAGGCTGTTCGAAAACCGATTTTTTCGAAAACCGAAATCACGCTCTTTTTTAAAAAAAAATCTTTGTTGAACACGTATGCTCACAAAGGAAGCTACATACATGAGGAAGCGTCACTTCCTCGTCTACCCAAGGAAGCGTCACTTCCTCGTGTAAGGAAGGCGAGAGGAGTCAAGTGGCGCATTCAAGTGCGCTCAGTTTGGTCGAGAACTGATTTTTGGTCGTAATCCAAGGCATAAAAAACTCGAAATTTTTGGTCGAAAACCGATTTGGTCGAGAACAGACGTTCGAAAACCAAGGTTTGACTGTAATACATTTGCAGTCGACTTGGGATCCGTCCGGGGTCTACTGGTCGACCGCGATCAACTGGTTGGGCACTCCTGATCTAGCGTGATTTGAGAAAGTTCTCGTACTTACTGGGTTAGGTAAAGTCCTTCAAATAAAGGAATATTGAGGAATATTGTGCAACAAGTGAAGCATCTCAACACTGTTGCAGAAATTAGTAATAACATGATCCAACTTTTAATATTGTTTTCAACTGTTTTTATACTCACATAATGTTGATGTAAAGTGTCACTCGGCATTCTTCACTTCATTTATTTTGTATGATAAGACAGCAAATGCGGAAGCCATCATTTATTAAAACTTATGATTATTAAAACATTCCATTTTGATTTCAGGACATTCCATTTTGATTTCAGGACAAGTGAGTTTGGGCCATTTCACAAAATAAATAGTGGCATAAAATCCTTAATCCTCAACTGATTCTGACAAAGAGGCTCATTTTATTTGTGAAAGAAATCTCTCTCCTCTATTTTGATATTAGGTGGTTTGAATTTTTTGGAAACATACCTACATCGTGTAACTTGTGATCTCAGGTTTTGGAAGGTGTGATAACTTGGTTTGACCACCGTGTGCAATTCTGATCTTAGTGTGGTCCAAGGAATGCTCAGGAGGTTTGTGTGAATGTTCAGATGAATGGAAAATTAGAGGGAACATTGCTCCTTGTGATCTTACATCCTCTCGATGAGCTCCTTCTCATCCAGAGATCCTGGCAGGTCCCGCTTGTTGCCCAGAACCAGAACCTGAAGACATGACACAATGTCACAGCTGTCAATAACTTTACAGTCATCTTGACTGACAAAACATGCTTGCAAATAAAGGATACAGTTCACCAAAATAGATATTGAAAGTATTATGATACCTCGGTACAGCAAGTGATATATATTCCTTCAGGCCAAAACCCTCTCTAACATATTAGCATTACTAGCATTGTTTCTTGGTCCTCATGATCCTGTTTGCTCCCCAATATTCTTTTAACAGACCTCTGAGACCATCACCGAACAAGTGCATGTAGACTGAGATGAGATTACACAAAGGTGGACTTTATCATTATCAGTCATTTAGGTCATTTACAGGGTTCCCACTGTTCCACTTGTTTTTCATTTATGGACCTTTTAAGGACTTTTGAGGGCTAATTTAGCCATTTTTAGGGACTTTTTCTCTGTTCAGCAGGGGATTCACTGTGGATTTAATGAACAGAAAGCCACATATAACTGAGATGGTGTTCAAATCATTGCTGCCAAAGGAAGGTCACAGATTTTTTTTAGGGGCAATCAGCTAACCCTTTATTTGACATACTGTATGTCAAATTGGCCCGAAATGACCCGAAGTGATCACATGATCATCATCGGAACTGAGCGGAGACGGCGGGAAAAGCAGAGCGGGAACCAGGAAGGCATGTCGCCCCAACGCGGGGTTTGAGGGGAAGAGCACCAGGCGCATTTTCTGACAAAACTATTAATTGGAAGGGTGGGGAAAATGACATACACACATGAAATGAACACCCCAGGTTAATTTTTAAGGAATTTTATTAATTTTAGAAGCTTTCCCTAAAAACTAAGGACAATTAAGAACAGAATTTTACAACTTCTTTTTTATGGATTTTCATGAACTTTAAGGACCCGTGGGAACCCTGGCATTGGATCATTCAAAAATGATCAGGGCAGTTCTGGAGTCAGTTGGTTGCACTGAAAACTGGGTGAATAATTTCACAAGCCCTGCTTTTGAGCTGCTTGAAAAAAAAGGTTTAATATTTTTGAAGCCTGAAATGTGGCAAAAGGTTAAAAAATTCAAGGGGGACTAAAACTGTTAAAAGGCAGCGCTATTCCCTATTCACAGCAGTGCTGAGTCATCACCTTACGGTGGTGGAGGGGTTTCTGTGTCCCACTGATAGTCGGAGCTAAGTAGTCTGGGGCTTTATGCCCTTGGCAGGGTCAACCATGGCAAACAGGTCCGAAATATGAGACCAGACAAAGCAGGGTTCAAAAGACTCCTTATGATGAGTCCAAGTTTTGGACATTGTTTTCCCTTCCCCAGACATTGATCACCGCGGCACCTCTCTCGAGGCAGGCCTTAAGGCAGGGGTGTCAAACGTACGGCCCGCGGGCCGGATCCGGCCCGCAAAGGACTTTAATCCGGCCTGCGAGATGATTATGTAAAGCAGTGGTGTCAAACATACGGTCCGCGGGCCGTTCAATCAGGCCCCACAGGATAATTTAAAAGTGAAGAAAATGCATAAAAGACACAGAATAAATATTTTTAATAAGGTGCAATTCATTGAGTATCCGCTAGGGGACACTGTTTTGATCAGAGAAGAAGACAACAGCAGCCTCAGTCCATCACTGAGACAGACCCATGACAGCAGACGCTATCAATAGCACTCTCACATTTACACATTTAATAGCACGCTCCTTAGTTTGTAAGGTGTAGGCAGGGATTACATTTAGATTTTATATGCACGTGTAAATGGTTTAAAACTTCCTTTCTTTATCAATCTCGTTTAATCTTAAAGTGCATTACTATATTTTTCAAAACCAATTACTTGTTAAAGTTTGTACAATCAGTGGGATCAGTTGCAATGCATATATGTGAATGATAAAAGTAAATTGCACATTTGTCAAAGGAAATGTAAGGTGCTTCATGAAATGTTTTGTAAAAGATATGTTCATTTAATTTCAACATTTTCCTAATGTTCTTGTGCTTCTTTATACCAAAACAAAGGAAAGACATATTGTTTTGGTTATTTATGGCAAAGTATGGTATCATTTTAATGGTCCGGCCCACTTGACATCTACCCAGGCCGTATGTGGCCCACCATGTGAAATGAGTTTGACACCCCTGCCTTAAGGTGTTTTATTGGTGAGCGTCTGGTGGCTGGGCCTGCACATATGGGTCCCAGCCGGCTCGGCCCGAAAGAAGAACATGGACTCACCACCTGTGGGAGGTCCACTGGGGTCAGGTGCTATGTGAGCTGCTCAGCAGCCAAAGGGGACTTTGGCTTTAAAATCTATAGAAGATAGCTCAAGGAACATGGAATGTCACCTCGTTGCCCGAGCTGGTGTGTGAGGCAGAGAGATGTCGATACGACATAGTCTGACTCACCGCCGCACACAGCTTGGTCTCTGGTACAAATCCTTTCGAGAGGTTTACAATCTCTTCGATGATGGAGTTGGCCACGGCGAGAGGCACAGAGCAGATCTAGGCATACTTTTGGCCTCCCAGCTTAGGCGCCTGTAGATTGCAGTTCACTCCAGTGGAGGGTAGCCTCTCTCCGACTTTGGGTGCGGGGACAGGTCAGGTCTATTTGTGTCTATATGCCTATGCACCAAACAACAGCTCGTACTCACACTTTTTGGAGTCCTTGGAGGGTGCGCTGAAGAGCGCGCCTCCATCATTCTGATGGGGAACTTCAATGCTCACATTGGCAATGACAGTGAGACCTGGAAGGGCGTGATTGGGAGGAATGGCCCCCGCGATCAGAAAGTGAGTGCTTTGTTCCTGGACTTGTGTGCTCATCAGATCGTCCATAACGAACACAATGTCCAAACATAAGGGTGTCCATATTTGCATTTGCCACCAGGACACCCAAGGCCACAGTTCAATGAATGACTTCGTGGTCGGGTCATTGGATTTGTAGCTTCCTATTTTGTACAATCAGGTGAAGAGAGGGGTGGAGCTGTCAACTGATTGCCACCTGGTGGTGTGTTGGCTCTAAAAGTTGGTGAAGATGCCAGTCCGACTTAACGTGTAGTGAGGGTTTGCTTGTAACCACAGGGAGAATCCAGTCAGAAAGAGTTTCAACTCCCACCTCCAGCAGAACTTCGCCCGGTGAGGCGGGTGAACCATGTTACGCGCCTCCATTGTTGATGCAGCTGATTGGAGCTCTGGCCAAAAGGTCGTGGCAGGTGCTAGAGAGGACAGTCGGTAGGAGGTTGAATTTCAGATTTAGGAGGAGCTCTGTGCTTGTTTTGTCCCAGTCTTGGAACAGCTCTACACCCTCAATAGGGTTCTGGAGTGTACTTGGGCGTTCAACTAACCAGTCTACATGTTTTGTAGACTTGGAGAAGGCATTTGACCAGGTCCCCCGGTCTATCTTGTGCGTGTGTGTGTGTGTGTGTGTGTGTGTGTGTGTGTGTGTGTGTGTGTGTGTGTGTGAGACAACGTTTCTTCAGCATGTCCTCGGTTGTCCTCAAGGCCTTCTCCCAGTGGTAAACACACGGAACACATCACCAGGGAGGCGTCTAGGAGGGATCTGAATAAGATGCGTGAGCCACCTCATCTGGCTCCTCTCAATTCAGAGGAGCAGCGGCTCAACTCTGAGCCCCAGCAGGATGACCAAGCTTCTCACCTTATCTCTAAGGGAGAGCTCGGACACCCTATGGACGAAACTCATTTCGGCCGCTTTTATCCAAGTTCTTATTCTTTCGGTCACAGCACACAGCGCATGACCATAGGTGATGCAAGGAATGTAGATTAGGAGGCGTTTTCATCCCAACCGCTTCACACTCTGCTGTGAACCGTTCCAGTGAGAGTCAAAGATCAGGTCTTAAAGAAGTCAACAGTACCAAATCTGCAAAAAGCAGACACCCTCAATGGCTTGGGTGCGCCTAGTGAGTGTCAAGCTGATCTACTATTCAACGGCTGGAACGAAAACCACACTGCACCTCCTGATTCTGAGATTTGACGCTCCTCTCCAGCACCTCTTAATCGACCTCACCAGAGACGCTGAGGACTGTGATCCCTCTGTAGTTGGAACACACCCTACGATCCCGTTTCTTAAAAAGAGCCCCAGTCTGCCAATCCAGAGGAACTGTCCCCGATGTCCATGGGTGGTTGTAGCGGTGTGTCAAACAGGACAGCTCCACAACATCCAGAGCCTTTAAGAACTCAGGACGGATCTCATCCACCCTTGGGGCTTTGCCACCAAGGAGTTTTAACCCACCTCATGACTTCAAACCCAGATATAAGAGAGCACACATCAGAGTCACCAGAGACCCTGCTTCCCTAAAGCAAGGAGTGTCGGTGAAATTGAGGAGATCTTCTAAGGAATCTCCCTACCGTCTCACATCATCTTGAGTCAAGGTCAGGAGTGCCCCTTTTCCACTCTACTCAATGTTAATGGTAGACTGGTTCCCACCTCCTGAGACGCCAAATGGTAGACTAGAGTTTCCTAGAAGCCATCCAGATGTCGTATTCCATGGCCTTACCAAACTCCTCCCATGCTTGAGTTTTTGCCTCGGCGACCACCACTTGGCCAGTCAGTACTTCTCAGCTGCCTCCGGAGTCCCACAGGCCAAAAAGGCCCAAGAGGAGTCCATTAGCTTGACATAATCCCTTACCGTTGGTGTCCATCAGCGGGTTCGGGGAGTGTGCAACGATAGTCAACACACCACCAGCTGGTGATCAGTTGACAGCCTGCGCCCCTCTCTTCACACGAGTGTCCAAATTTGAACAATGTGTTAGTTATGGAAAATCCATAACAAGCACAGAAGTCCAGGAACATAACACCACTCGGGTTATGATTGTGGGGGAAGAGAGGGATTGGGAGGAACACCCCGTTCCTCTCAATCACACCCTTCCTGGTTTCACTGTGATTGCCCACATGAGCACTGAATTTAACCATCAGAAGAGTGTTCTCGATGGGGAGCGCTGTCCAGCAACCTCCAGGACTCCACAAAGAGTGGATACTCTTGACTTGCCGTTTGGTGCATCAGCACAAATAACAGTCAGGACCTGTCCCCTCACCTGAAACTGTCAGGAGGCTACCCTCTCATCCACTTGGGTGAACCCCAATCAACAGGCGTCAAGCCGGGGGGGGGACAATAAGTATGCCCTTACGTGCTCTACGCCTCTCATCGTGCGCAACTCAAGAGTGGGGATGAGTCCAAACTCTTTTTAGAGGAATGGGACCAGAGCCCAAGCTGTGTGTGAAGGAGAGTCCGACTTTGTCTCTCAGAACTTCTTTGCCTTGTGCACCAGCTCGGGCTACTTCCCTGCCAGAGAGGTGTCATTCCATGTCCCTAGAGCTTGTTTCTGTAGCCAAGGATCAGACCGAAGAATCCATGAAAGTTGCAGTAGAAAAATGGTTTGACTGTAGTGATTGCCCAAAAGGTTGTGCAACAAGATATACTGTATTAAGAGTCCCGTAATTTTTATCCAGGGTTGTTTCATGAGTTTGTTTTGTAAAAATTGTTTGTGTTGAACCACAATTCAAAAGCAATGTCTGATTTTCATTGGTTATTTTTTATTACAATTTTTTTTATTTTTTTATTACTTTGGTCATATTCAAGGTATTTAGGATTTTTCTTTCATTAACAGAGGGGTAACAACAATGTTTTCCATGTGAGTATTAAACATGAGAGGTTCTGTTGCACACTCACAGGAATTCCCTGCAGCTGGGGTTTGTCCAGCAGGTTGTGGAGTTCATTCTTGGAGGCTTCAATCTTCTCCGGGTCGGCCGCATCCACCATGTATCTGCAAACACAACAACACAAATCTGTGGGGTTTTTTCCCCGAGAACACCACACATGAAGAAGATAAGAAAGAAAGGCGAAACATTGAGGAACACTTACACTATGGCACTAACTCCTCGGCAGTAACGCTCCCACATGCTCCGGAAACGCGGCTGCCCGCCAATATCCCAGAGCTGTACACACACATGCGTTACAATTCCATTGAGGACATTTTCATGGTGACAGAGCGAGGACCCACCTTGATGGTGACATTGCCCTTGGTGATCTTCCTCATGTTGAAGCCGACCGTGGGAATCATGTCTTCACTGAACTGGCCGGACTACAACAACAATGTCAATCACGTGTCAGTCTTTCAGACAGTCACTATTTGGAATCATGTGACGCTGTGTGTGTGTGTGTGTGTGTGTGTGTGTGTGTGTGTGTGTGTGTGTGTGTGTGTGTGTGTGTGTGTGTGTGTGTGTGCATGCGTGCGTGCGTATGATCGGCACTGCAGTATCTCCTTGAACAGAAAGTAGACATCATACGTATCTGAAAACCTGGACTCTCCCCCACTCACCCAATGCAAATAGCACGGCCACCTTATGCAGCATATACGCAGTTGCATATATGCTAATATCTTATATTTTGTATTTTTATATTGCATTGTGTACTGGGTACAGTTATTTTGTTTATTTATTTTGTGCATGCAAATACTTGTTTTCTACTTTCTTCCCTCCAAACTTTGCTGCTGTAAATTGCTAATTTCTCCATTGTGAGACAATAAAGGTTTTCTTATCTTCCATTTGACTGTCGTTGCTGGACAGCCCCGAGGCGATTGTGCTTTGCGCCTGTAATGGGCAGCACTTTCAAAGCCCCGCTTTGTTCAGCGGAGAGGTCGATGCTGTTGGACAGTCTGCGGCCGGATGGTTGCATGGTTTGAGGACCCGACAATGAGAAGTGAAGTCTGTATTCGGCTCATATTTCGTCATGCTGTATAACTTTCCCATGCCCGCAGTGTAGCTTGGCGTCCTTGTAACAATCATCACCTAGAATTGGAATACTCCCTACTGAAGACGCACAAACTTTGGAATGCGCCAAGCTGAGAATCAAAAAACGAGTGTGTCGCTGTGTGTGTGTGTGTGTGTGTGTGTGTGTGTGTGTGTGTGTGTGTGTGTGTGTGTGTGTGTGTGTGCGTGTGTGTGTGTGTGTGTGTGTGTGTGTGTGTGCATGCGTGCGTGCGTATGATCGGCACTGCAGTATCTCCTTGAACAGAAAGTAGACATCATACGTATCTGAAAACCTGGACTCTCCCCCACTCACCCAATGCAAATAGCACGGCCACCTTATGCAGCATATACGCAGTTGCATATATGCTAATATCTTATATTTTGTATTTTTATATTGCATTGTGTACTGGGTACAGTTATTTTGTTTATTTATTTTGTGCATGCAAATACTTGTTTTCTACTTTCTTCCCTCCAAACTTTGCTGCTGTAAATTGCTAATTTCTCCATTGTGAGACAATAAAGGTTTTCTTATCTTCCATTTGACTGTCGTTGCTGGACAGCCCCGAGGCGATTGTGCTTTGCGCCTGTAATGGGCAGCACTTTCAAAGCCCCGCTTTGTTCAGCGGAGAGGTCGATGCTGTTGGACAGTCTGCGGCCGGATGGTTGCATGGTTTGAGGACCCGACAATGAGAAGTGAAGTCTGTATTCGGCTCATATTTCGTCATGCTGTATAACTTTCCCATGCCCGCAGTGTAGCTTGGCGTCCTTGTAACAATCATCACCTACAATTGGAATACTCCCTACTGAAGACGCACAAACTTTGGAATGCGCCAAGCTGAGAATCGGTTCAGGAGAAACGAAAGTTATGATATCACAATTTGTGTCTCGGTACCGCCCTTCTGATGGTATAAAAATGATGTGAATCTCTTCCTGCTTCGCACTCGTGACGCGCAGCCATTGTCTGTAATTCGTGGGTGCCCGGAATATTCTGTTATTAAAAGCTTCGAAGGAACTGTTCATCGACTCCAGCCTTTGTTTGGATTACCAACATTCTCCTCGTCCGAAATTCAA